GGCGGCCCTTCCTCCCTCCCTCCCTCCGCACCCACACCTGCGCGGCACGGGCCCGGCAGGCCCGCCGTCCCGCCTCGGGAGGGGCGAGCGCTCCCCTCCTCCTCCTCCTCTTCGTCCCCCCACCTCGGGTCCTAAAATGGTGGAGCCCTCCCCTCCTTTCTTTCTCCTTTCGTTCTCTTTCCTCCCCCGCACGCTCGGCTCCCCGAGCCTGCCCGCCCGGGAAGGAGCCAAGCCGCCCCTCCGGCCCGGGATCCGGCGCCGAGGCCCAGCGCCTCACCCAAGGGAAAGACGGTAACGCCGCCCCGCCGGGCCCCTCACGGCTCGGCCCCCCTTTTACCTGCTCACATCGCCGGGCCGGGGCCAGCCTCGCCCCTCCGCGGTGCCCCCCGCCCTGGGCAACCGGCCGCCGTCTCCCCGCCGCCCGCGGGGCCGCAGGTATGTCATGGGTGCCGGGGCTCCCAGGTGAGCCGGGCACACCTACAGGAAGGCAGGCGGGGACGCCCTGATTGGCGTGCGGGGCGCAGCCCGGGCCGACGGCGGCGGCCGCGCTCCGACGGCACGGAACGGAACGGCACGGCACCGGCACGGAATGGCACCGGCACCGACACCGACACGGCACGGAACGGCACCGGCACCGGCACCGGCACCGACACGGCACCGGACAGGGCCAAGGCGCAGCCACCACAAGCGGCGCCGGCCCCTCCGGCCGCTCTTCGGACCCCACCGCCCGCCCCAGCCTGAGATTTTTTTTTTTTTTTTTTTTTTTTTTTTTTTTTTTAATAATAATTGCAATGTTGGGGGGGAAGGAGGAGGAATAACTGCGTTTGGCCCGGGTTTGAGGAAAGGTTGGGGGAGGGAAGAGCTTGGCCTCCAGGAGCGGGAACACCTGAGCTGCTGCTGCTCGCAGGACCCCTAGGAACAGAGGGGCTTTGTCATTTATTTATTCATTCGTTTCTTTCTTTATTTATTCGAATTTTTCTTCATTCCCCATGCCTCTTCTTTTCTGGCTCCCTAAGGTCACCCCTTAACTTTGCATACCTGGGCTCTTCTGCTTTCTATTTCTGCGTCCAGTTCTGGGCTCCCCAGTTCCAGAGGGACAGGGAACTGCTGGAGAGAGTCCAGCGAAGGGCAACAGAGATGATGGAGGGATTGGAGCATCTCCCTGGTGAGGAAAGGCTGAGAGAGCTGGGACTCTTTAGCCTGGAGAAGAGAAGGCTGAGGGGAGACCTTATTAATGCTGACAAGGATCTCAAGGGTTGGTTGAAGGAGGATGGAGCCGGACTCTTCTCAGTGGTTCCCAGTGACAGGACGAGGGGCAACGGGCACAAGCTGGACCATGGGAAGTTCCACTCCAATGTGAGGAAGAACTTCTTTGGGGTGAGGGTGGCAGAGCCCTGGAAGAGGCTGCCCAAGGAGGGTGTGGAGTCCCCTTCTCTGGAGATCTTCAAGCCCCACCTGGATGCTCCTGAGTGATGTGCTCTGGGCAACCCTGCTTTGGCAGGGGAGTTGGACTGGATGGTCTCTAGAAGGTCCCTTCCAACTCTGACAATTCCATGATTCCTTCCCCCCGGCCCCCAACAGGCAGCCGGGGTGTTAAGGAAAGGCGGTGGGTGTCGGGAGAGTCATCGTCACAACATGTGGTGGAGCTTTGGGATCCTTGGAGATCCCAGGATTGCGTCCTGTGGCATCAAATAAATAATTGAACACCTGGATTCAGAAGAAATTGAGCGGGATGCAGGTAGAAGAAACTCTGTAGGGTGTATTAAAACTTGTGAATCCACAGCTACCATTCTCGGGCATCCTGTCTCTCCGAGGTACACAGGTAAATATCCTGAGGAGCCCTTCCTGCATCAGAGCTTTCTCTGGTTGCTGTGCTCAGCTGTGGACTGAAAGGAGACAGAGTATCTGTTCCTAATAAAGGAAATTCAGTCCCCAACTGCCGGCTTGGCTGCAGCAATAGGGGCACACGTTCGGTAGGGAGACTCCCCCCGTGAAGGAGAGTGGAACAGAGCTTGGCAGAGAAAAGGCATGAGTAAAGGGAAAGAAGAAAAGGGGAGACATCTAGATACAAGGCAGCATGTGTTTGGGAGTAGCAGAGCAAAGGGAAACCCTGACAAAAGGAAACCCTGACACAGCTGGTGATTGTGATCATAAAAGAAGGGGAAAATTCAGAAATTTTGGGAGTTTCATTCAGTGGCAAAATAGAGTAGGTTGCTTGGTTTTCTCCACTGCCCCAGTGTTTGTTATTTGCAGCATAGATCCCTGTATTTGCCTAAAGAAGTACAGCACTTATGTGAGAATGTGATTTACTGCAGTACAGATCTTTGCTTACAAAGAACGCAAGGTGAGCAAAGAATTAAGCTGGACAGGTGGCTGACAAAGAAATCACCTTTATTATATTTTTTCATCACCTCAAACTGATATCCAGTGCCATCTCTTTGCTGAGTCTTTTTTTTTTTTCCTGATCGTTTCCCGAGGCTTGCAGGTGTGTCTCCTCCAGGACGTGCTCTGAAGAGTTCAGCCAAAGAGAAGGGGGAGCTTGTCCCAGCCTCCAGAAGAACCCTGTGCCCCACACCCAGGCCATCCTCACAACCATCCGGGGTCTCCCAGGCAGGAAAACTCCCCCCAGAAGCTGCACACTGAAAGCTTTGACCAGCCAGTGACAAAATCCTGCTCATGCTTGCTCCTGCTTTCTGATTCAATTAATGCTTTCATTCCTTTGTGTGGATTAATTATTTCATCATAGTGGATCAGCTTCTGCAGTCGAGATTCCTGTTCCACATCGCTGCGTTTACATTCAACAGAGAGGAGAGGGATGTTTCAAATTCCCACGAGGCAAGAGACTGGGGAAATCAGCTCTGGATCCTGTCTCTCTTGGTGCTCAAACCTCTGGGACCTGACATAAATAGGCGACGCCTCTTCCTACTCTATTTTCTAAGTTCCTAGCAGCTGGCAGTGGGACAGCCTGACTGGAAAGTGGCACCTCTGTCCTCCAGAAAAGGACAATGTGTTGTTTAAGAAGGGCTTAACCTTTACCTCTCTCCTTGGCACCTCCAGCAGCTGCTGAGGCAGTTTTCTGTTTGCTTTTGTGAATCATATCCTGAGGTACCTTGCTATCCCTGCCCATTGCACAGAGAGTTTGAGCTCCTGGCTTTTCTTCATGCGTTACGTAGGGTGAAGAAGCACCCAAAGTCATAACGTGCAGCTCTCAGTATCACGATGTCTCTACCCTTCTGTGGCCCGAGCTCTCCTTCCCTAACTGGGTGGGAACTGGACTCCTAACTTCTCTGGGGACCCATGCAAAATTACTGTTAAGGTGCTGCTTCTGCCAGTGGCGTGGAAGAGAGGTGGATGGAGAATAGTTGTGCTACAGAAATCACTGAGGCTGGCCAACACTTCTGGAGATCATGTAGCCCACCCCTCAGCTCAGAGTGGGATCAGCTGGAGCAGGCTGCCCAGGACTGTATCCAGTCAGGTTTTTGATATCTCCATGGATGGAGACTCCACAATCTGGGCTACCTAGGCCAATTTAACCACCCTCACAGTAAAAGCAAGGATTTTCTTACGTTTGGGATGTCTGCACATCTGGAGCACTGCACAGTGCAAGCAGGAGAGGTCCTGTCCCATGCCAGGAGTGCTTCCACTTCTTCTGTAGGAAGGTGAGCTACAGTGAGTCAGTGGCTTTTTGACCAGTAGATCCCACAGCATGGGAGTCCCCTCCCAGCAGGATGAAAGTTGAGAGCCAGCATTAGTGGGAAGCAGGCAGAGGGTAGCACAGAGGTGTCCCAGGTGGACTGGGCAGCAGCATCAAGAGCAGGGTCCTCCTCTACCCTGATGTGCTCCTGCTTCCTGCAGCACCCTGTACTGCCCGAGCGCTGTGAGCTCGGTGGGCTGAGAGGCAGTTTGGACACTAGCCTTCTACTCACGCTTTCTTTTCCTGTGTAGGCATCCTCCTTGAGAACCTCCCATCCAGCTGGAGTCCTCTGTTGTCCTCACCACTCCATAGCAGACATTATTCTGAGTTTAATTTCTGCTGTACGCAAAGCACACAGTTGTAAACGTAAAAAGCCAGGTAGACAGCAGGACAGAACCTGGCAGTTTTAGTAACTCTTGGGTATGCTGCTGACATGTCAGAAGCATCACAGGGGGGTCTGGGTGTCTTCTTAAGTTTAACTGAATCATCTGGTGAGCCGTCGCTCCTTGGAAAACAAAATAGCTTCCCTGGGTGTGTTTAGCAGCTGTACTTTCCTCCAAGCAGATGCCAACCTGTGTATACGGCAAGAAAAACCTTTGTAAGGATGGAAAGAAACAGAACACTGAGCTTGTAAACTGAGCCAAAGTAAGTTTATACAAGCAGCAAGTGAAACACCTGTCCCCAGTGAGTTAGGTCCTGGCTGTTTCCTTCATTTCCTCCAAGGCTTGGTGTGAACATCCAGCGGTAACAGTCCTTCTGAAATTCAGTCGTCTCTTTTCCTGCCCCTTATTTATAGCTTGCTGTCAGCAGTTAGCAGAGTCCCAGCATCATTGTGGATCAAAAGCTGGACATGAGCTGGCAATGTGCTCTTGCAGCTCAGAAGGCCAACTTAAAGGGCTACATCCTAGGCTACATCAAAAGAAGTGTGGCCAGCAGGTCCAGGGAGGTGATTCTTCCCCTCTACTCTGCTCTTGTGAGACTCCACCTGGAGTACTGTGTCTACCTCTGGGTTCCCCGACATAAGAAGGACATGGACCTGTTGAAGCAAGTCCAGAGGAGGGCTACAAAAGTGATGAGAGGGTTGGAACACCTCTCCTATAAGGACAGGCTGAGAGAGTTGGAGTTGTTCAGCCTGGAGAAGAGAAGGCCCCAGGGAGAACTTATTGCAGCCTGCCAGTACTTAAAAGGGGCTTTTAAGAAAGATGGGGACAGGCTTTCTAGTAGGGCCTATAGCAATAGGTGTGGGCTAATAATTTTAAACTAAAAGAGGGTATATTTTAAACTAGATATAAGCAAGAAAATTTTTACCACAAAGGTGGCTGAAAGTCTGGAACAGGTTGCCCAGAGGGGGTGGTAGACGTCCCATCCCTGGAAACATTCAAAGTCAGGTCAGACAGGGCTCTGAGAAAGCTGTTCTGGTTGAAGATGTCCCTGCTTATTGCAGGGGAGTTTGGAATAGATGACCTTGAAAGGTCCCCTCCGACTCAAACCATTCTATGTTTCTGTGATCCAGTACTGCATTTCCACAGGCTCCTCTCCAGCATACCAAGAGAAGTGCAGACTCTCCGAGGCCTCAGCACAGCTTTGGTCCCACAGGTCCTGTGCTTTTGTTGGGTTTCTAGTTGCTGGCACCTTATTGAGCTACAGCAGGTGCTGGAGGAAAAAAAAAGTCAGATTTGCAAAATTCACTCACGTTTTTTGTAGAAGGCTCCAGGGAGACCTTATTGCAGCCTGCCGCAGGCTGAGAGAGTTGGAGTTGTTCAGCCTGGAGAAGAGAAGGCCCCAGGGAGAACTTATTGCAGCCTGCCACACCTGGAGTACTGTGTCTACCTCTGGGTTCCCCGACATAAGAAGGACATGGACCTGTTGAAGCAAGTCCAGAGGAGGGCTACAAAAGTGATGAGAGGGTTGGAACACCTCTCCTATAAGGACAGGCTGAGAGAGTTGGAGTTGTTCAGCCTGGAGAAGAGAAGGCTCCAGGGAGACCTTATTGCAGCCTGCCGGTACTTAAAAGGGGCTTTTAAGAAAGATGGGGACAGGCTTTCTAGTAGGGCCTATAGCAATAGGTGTGGACTAATAATTTTAAACTAAAAGAGGGTATATTTTAAACTAGATATAAGCAAGAAAATTTTTACCACAAAGGTGGCTGAAAGTCTGGAACAGGTTGCCCAGAGGGGGTGGTAGACGTCCCATCCCTGGAAACATTCAAAGTCAGGTCAGACAGGGCTCTGAGAAAGCTGTTCTGGTTGAAGATGTCCCTGCTTATTGCAGGGGAGTTTGGAATAGATGACCTTGAAAGGTCCCCTCTGACTCAAACCATTCTATGTTTCTGTGATCCAGTACTGCATTTCCACAGGCTCCTCTCCAGCACACCGAGAGAGGTGCAGACTCTCCGAGGCCTCAGCACAGCTTTGGTCCCACAGGTCCTGTGCTTTTGTTGGGTTTCTAGTTGCTGGCACCTTATTGAGCTACAGCAGGTGCTGGAGGAAAAAAAAAGTCAGATTTGCAAAATTCACTCACGTTTTTTGTTTTATCCCTTGAATACAGCCTTATTATTGACAGGGGTTTGGGTTTGTCTCCATCTGAGAATCTGCTTCAGTGACAGTCATGGATGCAGTTATAACGAGGAACTCTTACTGTTGTCTGGCAGAGCTGTCACTTGTCCCAGGAGTTCAAGAGGCTATGGAATTCACTTAGACAAGTACTGATTTCTGGGATCATTCCCATAATTGGCTCCAGCATATGTCCAGGTATAAGTGGCTGTGCCAGAAAGGATTAGGAAAATACAGAACTGGGCAAGTCCTTCAGGTGATGTGGCTAGAGATGCTTTCCTGTGCGAAAGTAGTTATAAAACCACATTGCTGACATGATCTGAGTTAATAACAAAAGCCCTGAGACAATAACCCGTATTGTCAAAGAGCATGTACATCCTGAGAAGAGCAGCCACAGAACTGAAATGGGCTTCCCTCGTTTTGTCCTCAGGTACTTTCTTTCCTGGGAATCCCATCTAGCCTGCAGCCAACAAGTGACCTAGACACAACACTGTGTTTGCTCTTAAAGAACAAAACCAGGAGCAAAATAATCCACTTTAATTATAGTTGTTTATAATCCTTATTCAACCTCATCCATTTTTATTTATTTTTTTTTCACGCAAAAAACAGTAAGGACTCTTTGTCCAAATGGGTACCTACCTGTGTGCCATGGAGTGATAGTTTTATGTCATGATGAACTGTGTGCCAGTTTCTGTGAAGATCTGCTGTTGGTAGGATGGGTTAAGAATGAGCGGCACATTTAGTGTGTTGTACAAATTTCTTCCAAGATAATAGAAGTGGTCTTTCCTGATGGGCAAATTTGGGCCATTGTCCAAAATGGTTTGCTTGCTAAACCTCACTTTCTTACCAGGTGCTGCCAGGAAGATGTCAACAAATGGAGAAGACTTCAGACTGGCAGTCAGAGACAAAGGCTGCTGTTAGAGACACGAGGGTAAGGGCTTGTCTGGAGAGTCCCTGCCTGTCAGTGACATAAGGTACCAAAAGCATATTTTTACTTGCATACATCCATTTAGCCTGATCACTTGATTATAAGCTACTGCCTGTTTTAAAAGACAAGAAGGTGGTTCTTTCTTTGTGGACGTTGACCTGGCAGAGGCTGATGGGCTTTCCCAGTTACAATCACAAGCAAGAAGCTCCTTTGAATAGATATTGGAGGGAAGAAGGAGCTATAAATAAATGGGCTGTGTTCTCTGAAGCAGTTACCCAACCTTTACCAATACATACTGTGGTCAAAGCAACCTGCTTCCAGCTCACCGATAGTATCTGGCAACTCAGTGACCCCATTTCCAGTGAAAGAGTGGTAAGCTTTTACATTTTTAGGAAGATTTTTCCTCAAGCCAAAATTTTTCCTCAAGCCAGAATTGCAGAAGTTCTATTTGATACACCTAATGCAATATGACATAACACTCCTTCCTGTTGAATATATGGCTTTTCAAGCCATATTCCCACCTGATTAATATATGGAGATCTCTAAGGAACTGCAGCTAAATAACATTAGTCTGAGATACACTTTTTTTTTTTTTTCTCAAAATGTAAAACTTGACCTAGTGCAGGGAAAAAATGGTTTATGACTAAGAACAGTAACAAGGGCATTCCTTGGTACTTTACACTGAATGTCCATATAGGTTTCTTTCACTGAGTAAGACTATTGCAATAGTTTCTGGCTTCTTGTCTGCACACATAAGGAGGTCCATGGGCTACCTGATAAGAAATACAAGACAATATCCTAAAACCAAAACCAGGTTAAAAAACAGTGCTGCATACTATTAGGATGGCTCCAAAAGGATCAAAGGACATTATGGAGAAAAAACACTTGTATTGAGGAATGAGCAGTCAGACAAGGAGAAAGATAGGAGAACATTTAGTGGGCTTTGCCTCAACTCTGTCATCAAAAGTGTTAATTCCTGGTAATCCAGAATACGCAACATTGGTCTTACTATGCAGAAATACCACAAACAATTTTTGAAAGATCTTAATGAAAGCTGGTTGTGCAAACGTTTCCAAACCGCTGTTCTTTTACACCAATTCACATAGGCAATTCCTAGCTCGGTTACAGTTTTGAGGAAATCTTTGGGCTTATGCTTTCTCCCCACTGAGATGCTACGTGCAAAGGATGCTCCACTTACTGCTTGTTCCTGGCAGGTGCCTCTCACAGACAAACCCTCCGCTGCAGCTCTCAGGAAGGCTTTAGGAGGCAGCTCTTCTTTGGTGATCTCAGATACATGTGGCCTTCAAAGATCCACGAGAAGGGGGCTGCAGCGCAGGGAAGCGGCAGCTTCCTGAGGATATTGCAAAGTTTGGTCCAGGTGGTGATGCTGCTGCGATGCCTCTGCAGCTATTGACTGGGAACCAGTTCTTAAGAGCCCCATCTTGAGCGTTGCCTCCCCTGAACAGTAGAATAATTGGCTAACAGCTTTGCTCTTGCATGCTCTTTATCTTCTGGGGCTCCATCCAGAGCTCAGGCTACGTGGCTGGAATTCGTAGCACTTTTAAAGGTATCATTTCCCCTCTTCACTCCTGCAGTGCTCTGCAAGTATTCTGTGAGTTTGACCTCTTGGGGTGGAGGAAGTCAGTGGAGATAGCAGCAAACAGGACTTTGCCACTCTTGTGTCCAGCCACCCTTCCTGCGGGGTGGCAGCAGAGGGGCAGGGAGGGCAGCCGTGCAAGAAGATAACTGCTTGAATTAGACACGACTAGATCCTCGTGCAAACCTGGATCAGATCCTAACGCTGGGTCTTGGTGCAGGAAATTGTCTCCCAGCCTGCTCCATACATACATCTCTCTCTTTCACCTACGCACGCAGATAATTGCTAGATTGGAGTCTCTGACAACTTCGACTTTTACCTGGACCTCACACACTGATGTTTTCCCTCCTTCCTTAGGACTGAAGAAACGCCTAAACAGAGAGGAACAGTGACAATAGCAATTTTCTCCTTTTCTCTTCTGCCAGCACCCTTTGAGTAGCCCAGGAGAAGGTTATTGGGACTCTTAAATTGCTTCCACTCCATTTGCCAAGGCAAGAACTTAAGCAGAGTCTTCCTCTGTACTTTTCTTACATATATATGGGTATTCATGGCAATAACTTGTTAGGGGGGGTGTGTGTGACAGTCAAAGCTCTCTGTAGAAAAGATGCTGCCAGCAAAATAAATTTGCTACCAGAACAATGAGAAAACTTCATTCCTCCTTTCTGCTCTCTTCAGATTCAGGTAGGCCAGTTATCCTGTGACCATTTCTTCAGGCTTTCTGCTCAACTGTGAGCTCTAGAAATTAATTACTATAAAGGAAAGGTAGAATATGGACAAAGTCACACCACTGTGAGCTATCTTATTCTCGTCGAGAGCTGCTCAAAGAGTGAACTGACTATAGTTAGGAAAATTGAGCGTGGAGAACAAAAATGAAAAGAGGAAGCATGCTGCCTTCAAGGGGCTTGCCAGATGGTCCTCTGGTTCAGCCTGAAAGGTTTGCTGTGTAGGAGCTGGGTACAGAAAGTACTGCAGAGGCACATCTGCCCAGCACAGGTGGGAAGAGGACATTCAGAAACCTCCCTCTGTGCTTGAACCAGCAGCTCTGCCTCTGCCCCAGCCCCATCCTACCCATCCTTACTCACTCGGAAACCACTCTGCTAGAAAGTTACTTCTTCGTAGCCGAGATCCTCATATGATAATGTCCATCTAAGTGTTCTTGCTTGTGGTATAGGTCAGTAGTGATGACTCAGACCAGCCCTTCACTTTCCTTCCTCTTGTTGGCTAGGCACAAAATCGAGCCCACAAACAGATTAATCTGTCCCATGCACCAATAAAGGTGATTCCCTGTTAATTAACAAATCGCACACAAAAGTCCCTGTCTTGTATTAAAAGACTCTTGAATGGCTGTGAAATCAAGCACTTGAAAGCTCAGAAAATGGTAATTCTCTGGATGTAGGGTTTGGGGGATTTGTTTTTGCTTTTTTGATAGACACAAGAATGCATAATAGTGCAATTTTTAAAGAGATAGTGAGGTCATTCTTCACCTCTTCTCCTCTGCTCTGCACTGGTGAGGCCACAACTGGAATCCTGTGTCCAGTTCTGGGCTCCCCAGATCAAGAGAAACAGGGAACTGCTGGAGAGAGTCCAGCGTAGGGCAATGAAGATGATGGAGGGATTGGAGCATCTCCCTGATGAGGAAAGGCTGAGGGAGATGGGGCTCTTTAGTCTTGGAGAAGAGAAGGCTGAGGGGAGACCTTATTAATGCTGACAAGTGTCTAAAGGGTGGGTTGAAGGAGGAGGGAGCCAGACTCTTTTCAGTCGTTCCCAGTGACAGGACGAGGGGCAACGGGCACAAGCTGGACCCTGGGAAGTTCCACTCCAATGTGAGGAAGAACTTCTTTGGGGTGAGGGTGGCAGAGCCCTGGAAGGGGCTGCCCAGGGAGGGTGTGGAGTCCCCTTCTCTGGAGATCTTCAAGCCCCACCTGGATGCCGTCCTGAGTGATGTGCTCTGGGCAGCCCTGCTTTGGCAGGGGAGTTGGACTCTAGAAGGCCCCTTCCAACTTTGACAATTCCGTGATTCCGTGATAAACATAGTCATATTTCATCAGCTTACTTTTTGCCGAGGAGGAGAGACAAAGCTGAAATACACCTTCCTCCACGTTGAGTGTCTTTGCATGAGAGTTGTCCCTGAGGTGATTTCCAGGCCTCCATCTGTAATAACATGGTGCCCTCTGTTGGGAAGCTGTTCCTGGCGCCTCCAGGTGAGAGAACATTAACACAAACACCACACTGACACACAGGCTCCTGTGAAGCCTCTGCAGCTTCATGCCAGCAGGTTTAAAAATCAACTTAACCTTTTCCTGCCTCAGATATTTTTCGTTAGGCTCGGGCAAGCAGTTGCACTGGATTGCTATTAAGGCTTGCTGTGACAGTGTTCAAGAAAGATCTATAGGTTTATTACAGTTTCAGCTTTTTAAAAAGAATATATTGATTTGAGCCAAGAAGGCTACAGTTTCAGCTTTTTAAAAAGAATATATTTTTTTTGTGATTTGAGCCAAGAAGGAAACGAGAACCCCTTGTCCACCTCAAGGCACAGAAGACGAGGTGGCTTGTGTCAGCAGGGAGGTGTGTGGGGCTGCAGGCTGGCTGCGTACTCCGGGTCCGTGGATGGTGGAGATCAGCTTTAGCCCAGAGAAACAGTTCCTACTCTTTGCCAACACAAAGAGGAGTTGTCAGGAAGCAAATCCTAGTGCCTGGGATGCCTTCTCCGGTAGCACAAAGGTTATTCTCCCATTCCTGACAGCAACAGGAGAAGCCCCTCTCCTCTGGGCTTTGCCCGATCCCTCCTCCCCTGCTACCCAGCAGAAGCAGGGCCAAGGTTGGCCCTTTATCTCCCACCCCGTCCTACCATTCTGAACATCCAAACCCAACCATACATCAGTGGACCCCAACCCGACTCCAAAAATTGCAATGAGATTAATGCTGTGGTTCTCCAAAACTCCTGCACTGTGTTGGCCTAGAGTAACGTAGCTTGGCAGGGTGCACCTGGAGAGCACAGCCCCAGCCACAGACATCTTCTGTAGGACCAAACACTTATTCTTACCCAACTCTCACCTAGTTTCTGATCCTTAATATCAGAGACCTTGTTAGACCTTGAACGTGGATGTTCTCTTCTTTCCTGGGGTAGCACAAAACCAAAACCCACCCAGGCCACTCACATCACCACACCTGCCAGGGACAGCTCTTCAGAGGCTAGTTCAGGTCACACATCATCTCCTGCAGGATCAGCCCCTCAACCAGTCCACAGATCTCACCCAACTCAAACTCCTAATGCAGTCAGTCCCTTAAAAAGAGTAAGATGTTCTGCTCCACTGTATTACCAGTCCTAAAACTCCCAGGACCAGTGTCTTGACACACAGTCTTGAGGGCATTGGGAGGAAGGATCCTTTCCTGCTAAACAAAGTCCTGCTCAACAAATAAGTTATTCTGGGCCACCATAGTCCCACCATTAAAGGTGATGGTGAGACCCCTTGCTAGATATTGTAAGCCACCTCCTTTATGTTCTTCCTTTTAACCCTGTCTCTAGCCCAGCATTTTATACCAGGAGAGGATTCCCCGTGGCGCTCACCACCACCCCTCAGTCATGGAAAATGAAACCTTTCCCATATGATGGGTTGTAACGATTAGTATTTGGCGTGTGGCCAAAGCAGAGCTCTTGGATGTGAGCTTGCAGATAAATACGACCATCCACACAGTGGTGGGGAAGCATTGTTTGTCTGGAGCTGTAGTGCTATTGTTGGAAGGGCAGACTGAAGGAGGATTGTTTCATATGAGCACAGGCACAGTTTTCATGAAGTGACCTTTTGTCCTTAGCTCACAAAAAGGGCCTTTTTTTTGTGATTCACACTGGGTGACATTTTTAGTTTTCTTTGCATTTAATTAAGAATGGGACAAGCATAAGACTGCGAGTAAAACATAAAAGCAGAATGACCCTATTAAAAAGCAGGTTTTTCTATCTTAGTAAAAAACCTTGGTACGTTAAATTGGAGGTTTAGATTGTAAACTGGCTGAGGTAGGGACCCCATCCTACTCCTGTGCTCGCAGTGCATGTCACAGGAAGAGTCTCTTCTGTCTTTTCTGAAATTATCACGTCCCCTGGGACGAGTGAGTTGCAGTCCCCAAAGCATCTGAGAGAGTCGAGAAACGAAGACCCAAAAAGGTGTTTAAAGGTTAGCTTGTCACAGCTGTAAGTCAGTGGATATAAGATCCAGATAGTTGACTTCTGTGAAGGGACAGAAGGTGAGGGAAACAAACCCTGCAAGGTCTTGCGTAGCCTTAAGATCGGAAGCACTTACAGGCTACAGCTAACAATGACTAATGCAGTGTAAATAATGATTCATAGTAAGTCTAGAATATGCTGTACTGTGCTTTCTCCAAACAGAACAAGGATAGTTACCTTCTTTGTGTTTTGGGCAAGTGCCCCAGATGCCCAAGTTAACTACCAACCCAGCACCCAGATAGCTCTCCTAACACCCCAGAGATCCCATTTGCGTCCTGCTGACTCCATGCACTCTGCTCCTTTGTTTACCTCTTCTCTTTCTCTCTCAGTGCTTCGAGAGAAAGAGAAGCACTCTCTCCTTTTCCTGGACCTCCTCCTCCCTGATTAGTGATTCTCACAAAAACAACATAATGTCCCAAGACCCTTCATCTTAGTTGAGTACTCACATCCAACCACTGTTACCCCACCACACTGGAGCAGTATCAGGTTGTTCTCTGTAGTTTGCTCTTGTGCCTCGAAATTCACAGAATCATAGAATCATGGAATGGGTTGGGTTGGAAAGGATCTCAAAGATCATTTAGTTCCAAGCCCCCTGCCATATGGACAGGGGCACCTCCCAATAGATCAGGTTGCTCAAAGCCTCATCCAGCCTGGTCTTGAACGCTTCCAGGGATGGGGCAGCCACAGTTTCTCTGGGCAACCTGTTCCAGTGCCTCCCCACCCTCACAGTGAAGAAGTTCTTCCTAATATCTAATATAAATCTACCCTCTTTCAGTTTAAAGCCATTACCCGTTGTCGCTACAGGCCATACTAAAAACTCTGTCCCCATCTTTCTTATAAGAGCCCTTTCAGTATTGCTGCAATAAGGTCTTCCTGGAGCATTCTCTTCTTCAGGCTGAACAGCCCCAATTCTCTTAGCCTAGAGACAAGAGAGGTTCTCCAGCCATCTGATCATCTTCATGCTCCTCCTCTGGACTCACTCCAACAGGTCTGTGTCCTTCTTATGTTGGGGGCCCCAGGGCCCCAGTACTCTAGGTGGGTCTCATGAGAGCTGATCATCTCCCTCAACCTGCTGGTCACACTTCTTTTTAAGCAACCCAGGATACGGTTGGCTTTCTGGGCTGCAAGCCCACATTGCTGGGTCATGTTTAGCTTCTCATGAACCAACACTCCCAAGTCCTTCTCCTCAGGGCTGTTGTCTATCCATTCTCTACCCAGCCTGTATTTATGCTTGGGACACTTGCTGAGAGTGCACTCAATCCCACTGTCCATGTCACCAACAAAGATGGTAAACAGCACCAGATCCTTGAGGAGCACCACTTGTCACTGATCTCCACTGTGATCCTGGCCATTGACCACAACTCTTTGAATGCAACCATCCAGGCAATTCCTTATCCACCGAGTGGTACGTTTGTCAAATGCATGTCTCTCCAATTTAGAGACAAGGGTGTCATGCAGGACTTCTCTGCAAGACTCCCAACAGCAGCTTGGATATCTTTGCCTTTATCCCATCTCTGCTGCAGGAGCGCATGCCTGCCCTATGGGACTCACAGTGACCATGCTCCATTGAGGTGTTGATTTCTTTCTGAGGTGGGTTTGCTGATGCTGTGTAAGGGATGAATCCTGGCTCCAGCTCTTCCATCAAAGAGCACAGAGATAAGGCTTCTCCACAGTGTGAACTAGCTGATGTTGAGTCAGGTCAGAATTCCTGTCAAAATCCTTTTCACAGTCACAAGACCTAAGGGTTTTCTCTCCCATCTGACCTCTTTGTTGGTAAATGTAAAGGTCAAAATATATTCTTTTTCATATGAATTTTTAGATGATGGGTCTCCTTATTTTCAGCTGGAGCAACGTCATCATCAGCTGGAATAGAGGTGTGGGGGAAAACTAATCAGATATGATTATTCCCCCAAACATCACATGAAGAATAGCATTTATGAGCGTGAAAGCCATGAACCTGTTCTTCAGGTGAAGGGTTCTTGGGTCAAGAGCTTGCAGTCTGGAATTCATGGCTTCTCATCTTCCATCTGCCACCAGTTCTCTTATCGCCTTCATCATCATATCTCTGTTTTATATAGTGCCTCTTACCACCAGGTGCGTGCCACAGTTACACAAGCAGAGAGAACTGAGATGAGGAAGATGGTGGTGGGTGAAGAGACTTGCACAAAGTAGCCCATCAGGGCAGAAGCAGAGGTGAGAACTGGGCACATACTTCCAGAGTCCTTGAGCAGAGTGCTTGCCTCTTTCTCAGCTGGTATGTTCATCAAAAAACAATGAAAAGTCTTGCTCCCCAGTCTATTTTGCAAAGGTGTGATGTCCTCAGTAGATAGTATCTGCATGTGACTTTGAACACTCAGAGTTCTCTTTCAGTGCTAATGGAATGAGCTACCTCAAATGCCTCTAGGCACTATATCCAGTGTGTGGATATGCTATCCTTGAAGTTCAGAGGTGCCAGAGTTGATTCTGAGAAGGCCCATCTTGTCCTGATAGGAATTTTGAGTAGGAATATATCTAGACTCTTTTATAGGAATTTTGAGTAGGAATATATCTAGACTGTCTGAGTCAGCTTGGGTCTGGAAGCACATGGTGAAGAGCCCAAGCTAATGTGCCCTGATGGCACCAGAATTTTTGGGGAAAGACTGCAGAGGCACCTGAATGGCTCCCCACAGAGTCAGGTGAGACCCAGCAAGGCTTATAAGTTGTGGTTCAGCATCGTCAACTACTGTCTCTGTGCTGGCCCTGGGGGTGGAGCCTCACAGTGGAACCCACACCACGCTCCCCACATCTCCCACGTCCCAGAGGACCTTTTCATAGAATCATAGAATCATAGGGGGTTGGAAGGGACCTCTGGAGATCATCAAGTCCAAGCCCTCCACTGGAGTGGATCTACCTAGAGCAGGTTGCACAGGATCTTGTCCAGGTGTTTTTTGAATGTCTCCAGAGAAGGAGACTCCACCACCTCCCTGGGCAGCCTCTGCCAGTGCTCTACCACTCTCACAGTAAAGAAGTTCCTCCTCATGTTCAGGTGGAACTTCTTATGTTCAAGTTTGTGCCCAGTTCCTCTTGTCCTGTCCCTGGGCACCATTGAGAAAAGACCAGCCCTGTCCTCCTGACTCCCACCCTTTAAGTATTTATAAGCATTGGTCAGATGCCCCCTCAGCCTTCTCTTCTCCAGACTAAACAGACCCAAGTCCCTCAGCCTTTCCTCATCAGAGAGATGCTCCAGGCCCCTCATCATCTTTGTAGCCCTCTGCTGTCCCCGCTCCAGCAGTTCCCTGCCCTTCTTGAACTGAGAGGCCCAGAACTGGACACAGTGCTCCAGATGGGGCCTCCCCAGGGCAGAGTAGAGGGGCAGGATGACCTCCCTCCACCTCTTGACCATGCTCTTCTTGATGCACCCCAGGATGCCATTGGCCTTCTTGGCCACAAGGGCTTTTATCCTGTACCACCAGGATATCCTGGGTACCCAACAGGTGTGGGCTACCTGTGTTTTCGTGTAGCACTGCGCCGGAGCTCTCAAGCTGTGTGGACATCAGAGCACTGGTGAGACAAGTGTCTCACCAAATCACCCAGATCACTGTGAGCCAGAGCCACTAAGTTCTGCTAAGCCCGTTTAGTCGTTCCAGTGTCACCACAGCATATTTCCCAGCAAAGGAAAAGCTTTGGGTAGTTTACATTTTCCTGCATGGGGTGCTCTGAGGAATACCTCCTGGTGTTGTCCAGGGACAGTCAGCACATAGCCCTAACCACCTGTGCCGTTAGCTGGTTGGCTGGCCAAGCTTGTTGGAGTTATTGGCAGTGGAACCATTTGGTGGTGAAAGGACAGACTGAACTCAGCATCTGAGTAGATTATTAACATCAGACACCCCTGCAGTATCCCGAGAAAACCTCATTAACTCTGTGTCCTTTAGGTAATGGAGTTAAGATGTCCCGATGGAGACTTAATATTCCCTGATGGACTGGGAAGGTCCACATGCTTGAGTAGACTCTACATGTTGGGAGCGTTCTGCTATATGGTGGGTCCCAAAAGAACAGTACAATCTGCTTTTTTCCAGTGTCTGGGGTATCCTGTGGCTTCACAACCTCAGATGGTGGAGAGGTGACACCACAGTCTTGCTGCAAGAACAGAAATAAAATTGCCCCAAAGAACACAGAAGCAGGCAGTGCTTCTCTGCAGGACACAACCCTGCGGGTCGCTGGGTGGGAGCAGGAGACAGCTGTGAAAAAAGGCTGGTAGCAGGAAGAAGGTGTGATGGGGTGATGTGTCCGAAAGAAATAGTGCTGTAAGGTTTTGCCAGCATTTTCCAGCCCAAGAACTGCAAGGCAATTTCTTTGAGAGGAAAGATGAAAGGTTGCTGTACATTTTTGTTCTTAACCATATTTTGAATTCACACGCTTGTATCTGTAGTAGTAAAATTAGGATTGGTAAAACTATAGGAGTTTTTTTACCTACATGCTAAACTTGTTAATTTGTCACCCATACGTTTAACAACCCATATGACGTGTATGGAATTTTTTTTTTTTTTTTTTCATTTCATTTTGGGAAAGGTTCGATGGACCTTCACTTCCCAAAGGTGGCGAAGCAGCGTGGTGGCCCATCCTCTGCCCAGAGAGCACGGTGACGTTTGCGTAACGTCCTACAGCTTCCGCTCAAGTGGGTTTCACAACCTCCCCGGGTAATCTGTTCTGGCCCTGCCTTACTCAGAGACAGTTTTTTGCAACATCTAGCCTTTTTCTTTCTTTTTTTTTTTTTTTTCCTTTCTTCTTTTCTTTCCTGAAAATTAAGCCGATTAGATCTTATCTTTGTCCTTCCAGCAATGTAAATCGCTGCCTTTCTTAATAACAACATCTCCTGCTCTGCAACCCTGTTATCACGTCCTGCCCTACTCCCAGACTTCTCCTCTAGACTCAACAAACCCCTTTCTCCCCAGAGATGACTCTTTTCCAAACCTCTTCTCGCTGCGGATGTGCTCCCATCCCTGTGCTCTCTGCCCGGACCCGCGGGGCTGCTTGCTGTCCCCCCTAGGGTGGCTTCTCACTTCTTCTGCCACCCCGCAGCCCCGGCACCCCCTTTCCCCAGCCCTGGGGGGCTCTCCGGTGGTGGGGGTTGGCCAGGATGCTGTGGGGACTCCGTGGGGCCAGGTGCCAGGCCCCCTGGGCTCTGCAGGAACCGGCATGTGCAGTTCACTCCTCTTGCCTCCCAAGCCCTGCCGTGGCAACCGGTGTCCTTTGCTCCCTGGGGTTTTCTCCTGAATTCCCAGATTCAGGAAAGTCACCGGCTCTCTCTTCAGGTGCTCTCGCATCGTAGAATCACAGAATGGTTTGAGTTGGAAGGGACCTTAAAGATCATCCCGGGTGTGATGAGTTTGGAGAAGAGGAGGCTGAGGGGAGACCTCATTGCCCTCTACAACTCCCTGAAAGGAGGGTGTAGAGAGGTGGGGGTTGGCCTCTTCTCCCAAGGGAATAATGACAGGAGCAGAGGAAATGGTCTGAAGTTGGGGCAGGGGAGGTTTAGATTAGATCTGAGGAAGAATGACTTTCCTGAGAGGGTGGTCAGGCACTGGAACAGCCTGCCCGGAGAGGTGGTGCAGTTGCCATCCCTGGAGGGATTTAAGAAACGTGTAGACGTGGCTCTTCAGGGCATGCTCTAGTGCCTGAGATTGTTGGGTTGTGTCTGTCTGTGGGTGGGTGGGCGGTGTGTGTGTGTTGGTTTGGGTTGTGGGTGTTTTGGGGGTTTTTTGGGGTTTTTTTTTGTGGTTGGACTGGATGATCTCAAAGGTCCCTTCCAACTATGAATATGGGTGATCATCTAGTTCCAACCCCCCTGCCGTGGGCAGGGACACCTCCCACTAGAGCAGGTTGCTCAAAGTCCCCTTCCAACCCGACCTTTAACACTTTCTGTGATGAGATATCCACAACTTCTCTGGCCGAACTGTTCCAGTGTCTCACCACCCTCATTGTAAAAAATATCTTCCTTATGTCCAATATAAATCTATCCTCTTTCAGTTTGAAAACATTGTCCTTTGGCCTGTCACTACAGACCTTGGTAAAAAGTCTCTCTCCATCTTTCTTATAAGGCCCCTCTACCCAGCAAAGGACCACAATAAGGTCTCCCTGGAATATAAAAAGTCTCTCTCCATCTTTCTTATAAAGCCCCTCTACCTAGCAAAGGACCACAATAAGGTTTCCCTGGAACCCTCTCTTCTCCAGGCTGAACAAGCCCAAGTTTTTCAGCCTTTCTTCATAGAAGTTTGTTGATTTCTGATTAATTTCCGGTAATCTGCTTTGGAAATTCTCTTAGGAGGCAGAGGTCCCCATGTTCTATGGGATGCGAGCATTTCAGGAGCTCCTAGAGAGAAAGGGCTACCAAAAAACCACGTCTCAGTCCTCTTCATCATTTTAGAAGCACCATCTTTCAGGCTCAGTTAGAATTATGTAGCCCCACATCTGGCTCTTGACAGTCCTTGTATCAGCTACTTCAGTGGACACGGGTGGAAATCCTGATGATGTGCAAGGTTACAGAACCAAATCCTTACAGTCTGAAGACCCCAACCACAATACAGTTGGTTCAATAGAATACAGTTGGTTCAATATTACCAATATTCCCATTTAATACTTTAATATGAAAGTATTCTTTCATACACCCAACACATTCTGCTGTTGGTTATTTCAGCCTGAAGAACAGAGGCTTATTAGTGCTCCTTCTTCCCAGCAGCCTTTCCCCCTCAAATCATCCTTAACGTCCCTCCCATGTCCCCAACAGATTCCGTGTCCCGAAACCAAATGTTTTGACCTGCTGACTGGACACGATATTACATTAAGTGCCAAACAACATGGATAAGGGCCAGTCTCTCCCTGCGGATCCTCCCATGGGGGTGCCAGCAAGAGCTCTGCTGTACCCAGCTGCTGATCTCTGGCTGTATATAATGAAATTGATCCCCCAAATCTGAAAATACATATTTTAATATAGATCGAATAGAGCTTTTGAACTCTCTCTTGATTTTGAAACTTCTGTCTCATTCTGAATATATCTAAGTGGAAAGAAAATTCAGGATGAGCAGACTGACCCCGTATTCACAGGGAAGAGAGGGTAGGAGGCCACTTTTTAATTCTCTTTTCCCGCTTCATCCCAAACCTCTTAGTTCTTAAGGGGTTCTTAAGAAGAGCTCTGCCCACTTGCTGCAGCAGCTCTCACTGAACTCTTTTCTTGAGAAAGCTGGAAAAGGGTAGGCAAGCCACCAAAACCAGAGGGGTTTTGCTCCCCTGCTCCTGCGGGGTCGTTCCTGCAAAGACTGGGATGCATTTGAGGCAGATGATCTGGTTGAAGACTGAGGATGGTATTTGCCCACATATTAATAGCCACGACGTGGGTGTCTCCATCCAAGTTATGGTCCAGGCCCGCTTTGTAGTCACTGGAGAGAAATGGACACCGTTAGGAGGTGATTCATCTCACCGATTTTAGATGTCTACCTTAGGAGTAGGTGAATTATGCCCTAGAAATGCTTCTTAAATATTTGAATAAGGGGCTTTTCTTGTTTGATGACTTATTCTTGGTTTGTTATATGTGAGATTTCTTGCTTTTAAGTAATATTTTTTAATCCTTTTCGTTTTTAATACAGAGTTAATCTTTGCTCAAGAGGGGGACGTGCTGATAAGACATCTTCCTCTGAGAGCTGGGGTTTCAAAAAAATCAGCAGTTTCACTCCTGTGATTTTTGTAGTTCGTCTTCTGGAAGGTATGTGTGGAAGAGAAATGATAAAGTATTAAGACCAAAGAAGACAGAAGCCCAGAGGGGAAAAAGATGAGCAAGTCAGAATCTGAAACAACACAGTCAGGAAACACAGATGATGTGGTTTCTGTAAGAAGCTTGTTTGTTGAGTTAGAGGGGAAGGGAATTTGTATATGCATAGCTGCAGTTTAATTAACTGTAAGAATCACTGTGTATGTGCAAAAATGCAGATTAATTTGTTGGATATTTTATGTCATATTATATTGGATATTATACGATAGAGGGATATACTATTGTGGATTTTATATGTGTGTGTGCGCATGTATGCATGCGTGTACTGTTATAGAGATAGAGGGATATACTATTGTGGATTTTATACATGTGTGTCCCCAAAACTATGTGCATAAGGTGGCAGAGGAGCTTGATAGAGAAGGATCTGTGTATGGAAAGTGGAAAGTGATGGAATAAATACGTTTTTTACTACATCAAATGATTCAACTGGGTCTGTGGTTTTTAAAGTTGCATTTCTAACCCTTCCCTATAGGTAAGAAACACTTGAAGATGTCCCCAAAACTATGTGCATAAGGTGGCAGAGGAGCTTGATAGAGAAGGATCTGTGTATGGAAAGTGGAAAGTGATGGAATAAATACGTTTTTTACTACATCAAATGATTCAACTGGGTCTGTGGTTTTTAAAGTTGCATTTCTAACCCTTCCCTATAGGTAAGAAACACTTGAAGATTGGACCTAGCTTCAGAAATGGTCCCCTAATGGAAAGGTCTGTAAAAGTTAAGGATGATTTTTTTTTTCAGTTGTCTAAATTTTCCCTCTGGACCCCCCCTGCACCAGGGAAGCACGTGCAACTGGAGCTCAGCAGCTGCTGCATTTTGAGATCAGTATGTGGGGATGCTATTGCTCCTGTCCCACCAAAGGTGTCAGGAGCTTGGTGTCGCTTTCCCCGTCTTCTTGCTTTTTCTTGCTTCTTGCCTGCTCAGTCAATCAGCAGAGGATCAAGCAAGTGGCAATGTGGGAAGTGCTTTAACTTGGTGGGACACCTGGGCCGGAACAATCCTCGCCACCAATACAAACTAGGGGGTGAGGTATTGGAAAGCAGCCCTGAGGAAAGGGACTTGGGGGTGCTGGTGGAGGAGAAGCTGGACATGAGCAGGCAGTGGGCAGCTGCAGCCCAGAAGGCCAATCCCATCCTGGGCTGCATCAAAAGCTGCGTTGCCAGCAGGTCCAGAGAGGGGATTCTGCCACTTTACTCTGCTCTGGTGAGACCTCACCTGGAGTATTGTGTGCAGGTCTGGAGCCCTCAATATAAGAAGGACATGGACTTGATGGAGAGGGTCCAGAGGAGGGCCACAAGGATGATCAGGGGGTTGGAGCACCTCTGCTACGAGGACAGGCTGAGGGAGCTGGGGTTGTTCAGCCTGGAGAAGAGGAGGCTCCGGGGAGCCCTAATAGCAGCCTTCCAGTCCCTGAAGGGAGCCTACAGGAAGGCTGGGGAGAGCCTGTTTAGAAAGGCCTGCAGTGACAGGACGAGGGGCAATGGCTTCAAGCTGGAGGGGAGCAGATTTAGACTGGAGATGAGGAGAGGGTTCTTCACTGTGAGGGTGGGGGAGCACTGGAACAGGTTGCCCAGGGAGGTGGTTGAGGCCCCCTCCCTGGAGATATTCAAGGAGAGGCTCGACGAGGCCCCGGGCAACCTGGTCTAGTTGGGGGTGTCCCTGCTGACTGCGGGGAGGTCGGACTAGATGGCCTTTGGAGGTCCCTTCCGGCCTGGGCAATTCTATGATTCTATGATTCTATGACATCGACTTGGTCTCTAACCCATGTTCCTGGGTAAACGTGGTTGTCTCTCAGCCATAAGCTGCGTTTAGATGTTCTTGATCACATTTTATTCTCTCTGTTGTATTTGCTTTCCCTCCCATTGAGCCCTTGTCAAGAGCTACTGATGAGCTGCATTCATTGCTCTTTTTTCTATGTGTTTGTATGTAAGCTGTATTTTACAGTATGTGTCGTATAAAATGTGTTTATAAACTTCACTTATGTAAATGGTTGTAGACTGAGATATAAAAGCCATCTCGTTGGGGCAGAAGACAGGATTTCGTTTACAATGGATAAGTGCATTGTTGTTACTCAAACTAAGCAGCACGCAAGCTATTCGTGGAATGGCATTCATCTTTAATAAATATTTTACATAATACACACAAGTTATTCATGGAATGGCATTCATTTTTAATAAATGTTGTATGTCATGCTGACCACTTGGGACTGGCAGGAATTAAAGATTTGGTACCAGCAGGGTCTCTCCTCTTCTTTTCCTGGCTTTTGATCCTAAGTGCTGTGAAAGTGGTTGTAAGGTTTTTTCCAGTCCCAGTGTATTGGTGTGCTGTGTAGTGTGTGCCAGCCTAGTGATAGATCTTTGCTTTTCTTTTTTGACCTTTCATAGATTCCTCAGTGCTAGTTTTCGCGGACACGCCCCCAAAAGTCAAAGGTTTGTGAATTGAAAATTTGCTGTATGTTGGCGATGACTTCTTTCAAACATAACATAATTGACCTTTCATAGATTCCTCAGTGCTAGTTTTCACAGACACACCCCCAAAAATCAAAGGTTTGTGAATTGAAAATTTGTGGTATATTGGCGATGACTTCTTTCAAACGTAACATAATTAGGGGTGGTTTCCCTGTTGCAAAATCACCCTGGTCTCTTCACTAGTTCAAACGTTAACCTTTGGGAAAGGTGAGCATCAGAAACCTGGTTATGAAGCTTCTGACACTTAAGCCTTTGCTGGAGATAGGCGTGGGGCACAGCAAGCTTTGGCCAGGAGGAGCAGCAGATGTTTTGCCTACTGAGTCATGGTATTAAATGTGCTTTTTACAATTATTTACAGTGAAATTCGTCGTAAGAATGAATCAGGCCCTTGGTATTTAATCTGAACGGAGGTTGTGAAACTTCAAATGACTATGCAGGAGATAGGTTGCTGTGATGATGCCTATCACCCTGGGAGGGCTCTGTAGCTCTTCTAGGCAAAATATGCCCTTGTGGTTATGCCTTTTCTTGTATTTCTTCTTGCTTAGGTAGAAAGCCTGTAGGGGCAATCATTTGAAAAATGTAAAGGCTTTTAAAATTTCTTCAATAAAATAATTTCTTTATAAATAAATGGCTCAATGTAAGTATACATAATTGACTGTAACACACATTACATAAATATAAATGTGTAATAGTCCGTTCTCAAGTGTTTTGCCTCTGCAAGAGGAAGGAGTATTGTGAACTGAGTTTTGTGGTGCCTGATTTTATTATGTGCAGCATTTTCAGTTTGTACTGCAGGGCAGGGGCGGGAACACTTGCTTCTATTTTTAATGTTGTGTCTTAATGATATGGATAATTCACAGTGGTTTCTCTTGTATTTTTCTCGGTTGGCTGTTACCTAATGCAGTCGAGTCATGAAATACGTGTATTGTGGTGGGACGAGGCTTTTGCAGCATGAAATGCATCATCAGTATTTAAACTCTGACCTCTAGGTTTGATAAAAATCTTTTTAGATCAGGTGTTACCCACAATGACAATAATGTGTAGCATACAAAGGTGAGCTTTCACTCCTTCTACTATCAAATTTACAATAACACTGTTTTTAAAATATTTGTTCTTAAGGATTTCTTGCTTTTAGAAAAAGTTGACGTGCTGTTTGTTTGCAAAGGAAAATGCCCGATTTACTGCTGAAATGGACATGTACGTGGAAGGGCATTTTTTTTTTTCCTGTTTTATCTATTTATTATTCAGTTTAGGTAGCATTGCTTTATCTAAACCTTGTACATGATTTCTTAGTGGATGTTAACTACTCAATAATCCTGATAGAGTATTGGCAGCGGAATTTTGAGGCAGTTCTTGAGCTCAGAATACAGCATTATAGAGAGTTCACATTTAGTCCCTTTTAAATTAAATTACTTATTATTCTATAGAGCTTTCTAGCCAGTTTTCTTCCCTTTCTATTTAATTCTCATTTTGGTTGGTAGGCTTTTTCAACCCCTTGCTGTTTGTCAACCCTAGATGCAACTCTGAAATCACAAAAGGCAGTATTTGTACAGCTTTTTGATTTCTGGGGAGAGACTCTAAATACGCAAGTGGTGGCTTTGTCCACAATGTCAGAGAATGGACTTTGCTGCCGCAAAAGGAGGGAAACCAGATCCAAATGCATCGTGCAAACTAAGATGGTTTACGGTTGGATTTGATGATCTTAAAGGTCTTTTCCAACCTTTGTTTGTCAACCCTAGATGCAATTCTGAAATCACAAAAGGCAGTATTTGTACAGCTTTTTGATTTCTGGGGAGAGACTCTAAATACGCAAGTGGTGGCTTTGTCCACAATGTCAGAGAATGGACTTTGCTGCCGCAAAAGGAGGGAAACCAGATCCAAATGCATCGTGCAAACTAAGATGGTTTACGGTTGGATTTGATGATCTTAAAGGTCTTTTCCAACCTAAATGATTCTAGGCTTCTATGATTCCATGACTGGTTGGGGTTTTTTGAGGAGGGGGGGCTGGGGTTTTGTTTTTTCTTTTTTTCCCCTTTGGTTTTAAAATATCAAATGCTCCCCACTCCAGTTCTGCTTTTTCCCCTACCTGTTGAAATTGGTCACCTAAACCTGGCAGACTGCTGAATTTCTCCCCACCAGGCACCAGAAGCTCCAGCTTTCCACCCATGCAGTGCTGGGAGAGGCCACAGGAGGGAAGTTACAGCAAGGTCCTTGAGAGGCTTCCTCAGAAAGCTGTTGTGGTACTGAGAGAGTCCTGGCAAAAGTCCGTACGCAGCTCCAGGTAACCCATTAGACTACAATTTTGTCCTATGAGGGTTTAATTAGGTCCCCTGTAATAATTCCAGCACACTGGCGAAAGGCTAAAGAATCATGCCACGTAGTCATTAGAAGCCACAAAATACCTGGGTGAGTCAAAAAAAAAAAAACCCTACCCAAGGAAGGGAAAACTCTTCCTCTACAGGTAATTTCTACATGACTTTGCGTGAGCATTGAAATCCCTTGTGTAGCAAGGAGCAAGGCTGGCTGCCAGGTTGGCTGCCCTGCCACCAGCCAATTCTTTTATTTTCTTGTGTTGGAAGAACAGATAGAGCCTCAGGGTATTTAAGGTATGTTTGAGGTGTGACTCCTAATCGTGACTCTGTTTGAATCGACTTTATTTTTAAATTTTTCGAGTTTAAAAATTTTATTTTTAAATTGATAGGTTAAATCAGGAGTCAAAACAAAATGGGGTTTTATCAGACTCAGTGCGTGACCTGGGCAAAGATGTAGGGATTCAGCCAGCCTGCTTTCTCCTGCAGGTAAACCTGAACTGATGGGTCCTCCTCTGTGGCTTTAACAGCACCTGGATGATTCTGGCTCTCCGTGGAGGTGAGTGAACACACTCGATTTCTTTAAGCTGGCCTGAAAGTAATTCTGGGCTTTGTCAGTCAGTCCACCTGGTTTCTTGGGGACCACTTTCCCCCCCACCCCAGCTTTCTTTTCAGGGGCTGTGGCTCCGTATTACAAATTCTTCTGAGGTTTAAGAGGTTCCTTCTTCCAGGTTCATCCCTTCCCTCGCATCCCTCTGCCACGTATCACAGCTGAACGCCCTCTTTGTTACAGGCACTTGGTGTCCGGTGTATCTGCCCTGTTGTAAACGGTTCCCTATTGAACAAAGTGGTGGAAAGAAGGGATACTGATGTGCTGTTGCTCAGGGGTAGGAAGGATGGGTTGGGGTTAGGTAAGGACAGAAAGCTTGGTGCCAAAGGGATTGCACCACAGAGTTTCACCTTCAGAAACACCAGCATATGGTGTTTGAAACAAAAAGATGCCTCGTGCTTTCCCTTTTAATCCCATTTTATGCCTGCTAAATCCATAACCATAGAATCATAAAATGGTGAGACTTGGAAGGGACCTTAAAGATCATCAAGTTCCAACCCCCCTGCCCTGGGCAGGGACACCTCCCACCAGACCAGCTTGCTCCAAGCCCCATCCAGCCTGGCCTTGAACCCCTCCAGGGATGGGGCAGCCACAGCTTCTCTGGGCAACCTGTTCCAGTGTCTCACCACCCTCACAGCAAAGAATTTCTTTCTGGTATCTCATCTAAATCTCCCCTCTTTCAGTTTAAAACCATTACCCCTTGTCCTGTCACTGCACTCCCTGACAAAGAGTCCCTCCCCAGCTCTCCTGTAGCTCCCTTCAGATATTGGGAGGCTGCTGTAAGGTCTCCCCGGAGCCTTCTCTTCTCCAGGCTGAACAACCCCAGCTCTCTCAGCCTGTCCTCGTAGCAGAGGTGCTCCATGCCTCTGATCATCTTCGCGGCCCTCCTCTGGACAGATTGGTTCCCTCCCCGTTGCACTTCTGTAAGTCCAGGCCCTGGTTGTCCACACTGTGCAATAGCCATAGGATCCTTGAACATAACTACGGAATAAGAGACCGTCACTCTGCCTCTGTGCCTTCAACAATCCTCCAACTTTATCCGTCTTAACAAACCTTGGACCCTTACACATCCCTTTATGCTCTTCATAGCAGAGGTGCTCCATCCTTCTGATCATCTCCGTGGCCATCCGCTGGACCCGTTCCAGCAGGTCCAGGTCCTTCTTGTGCTGAGGACTCCAGAGCTGGACGCAGCTCTCAGTGAGGAAGGTGCAGCCTCACCAAGCACAATGCTATTTTCTCTTAGTGCCTTTTAGATTTGCGAAGTGGACTCGATGGCTGGACTCGATGATCCTGAGGGTCTCTTCCAGCCTAGATATTTCTGTGGTTCTGTGAAGTTCCCTTGGGCTTGTTTCTTGCCCAAGGAGTCAGGTGGGGGGGCTGTCGAGAAGTTTAAATAATCACTGCCGGGCATTTAGAATCATAGAATCATAGAATCATTGAGGTTGGAAGAGACCCTTGGGATCATCGAGTCCAACCATCTCCCCTACTCTACAAAGTCCTCCCCTACACCATGTCCCTCAGCACTGCATCTAAACGGCCCTTAAACACATCCAGGGATGGTGACTCCACCCCCTCCCTGGGCAGCCTGTTCCAATGCCCGACCACTCTTTCGGTGAAAAATTCCTTCCTAATGTTCAATCTAAACCTACCCTGTTGGAGCTTGAAGCCGTTCCCTCTCGTTCTGTCACTAATTACCTGTGAGAAGAGACCAGCACCAACCTCTCTACAGTGTCCTTTCAAGTAGTTGTAGAGAGTGATGAGGTCTCCCCTCAGCCTCCTCTTCCTCAAACTAAACAGTCCCAGCTCCTTCAGCTGCTCCTCATACGATTTGTTCTCCAGCCCCTTCACCAGTTTCGTTGCCCTCCTCTGCACTCGCTCCAGCACCTCCAGATCTCTCTTGTATTGAGGTGCCCAAAACTGGACACAATACTCGAGGTGTGGCCTCACCAGTGCTGAGTACAGGGGCATTCGAAGCAATCATTCATGATGAAGGTTTCCCGTGCGGTACCAGTGATGGTTAAACTCCTCTAAGCCTTCTTCTCCCCTTCCCTCTAACATTTCCCCCCCCCCATCACACTGGCACAGCTGCCTGTGTGTCTGTTTGCTGCACAGGGGTGGTGCAAACCTGGCAGCTCCACTCCTCCAAGGCTCTTAGCAAGAGAGAAGCACCAATTCTGTCCGTGTAATAAGACGTTTGGAAAAGATTCACAAGCTGGTCCTCCTCTGGAAATATTCCTCGTGTGCCAAAAATGGTACGTTTCCGTTTAACGCCCTTGTGGTGCTTCGGTTGCTGCTCCCCCCAGGGCTGCTGTTGGATGAGGTGGGCTGCAGGGGGGCAATGCTTGACAACTCCAGGGACGGCTGAGCCCTTTGGATGTTTGTCACCACCACCACCCCCCCTCCAAGACTGCAATTTTCCCTTCCCTTGTGCCAGCCCTGCCGTTTGTGGAGCCGAGCGCTGGATCGGGGAAGCCATCCAAGTTAAAAATAACCCAGTGTGTGGCTGGGGATGGCAGGAGCCTCAGCCCTCCCCTGGGATCTGCTGTCACCAGCCAGCCAGGGCCCAGCAAGAGCAGGAAGCCGTGAGAGCCCAGCCTTGGAGATAGATACCTCTTTGGGACACGAAATAGCAACTTCTCAGCCAGTTGAAGGACACTCCGTGAATGAGGAGGCAGGAGTCCTTCGCCCGTGGGTGTCAAGAGAACGGGGCCGGTCTTTTTTCAGTGGTGCTCAGGGACAGGACAAGAGGAAATGGGCACAAACTTGAACATAAGAAGTTCCACCTAAACATGAGGAGGAACTTCTTCACTGTGAGGGTGGCAGAGCCCTGGCAGAGGCTGCCCAGGGAGGTGGTGGAGTCTCCTTCTCTGGAGACATTCAAAACCCACCTGGACACATTCCTGTGGGACCTGCTCTGGGTGGACCTGCTTTGGCAGGGGGTTGGACTAGAGGATCTCCAGAGGTCCCTTCCAACCCCATGTGATTCTGTGAAAGCCAGGAAGCCCTTGAATGAGAAAAGAGAGGGGACAGTTGAGAAGTGGATCAGCTGACTTAGGAGATATATCAGGTTTGACATGGAAAGGCTTGAAGGCCCTTCAAAGCTTGGGACACAAGAGGAAAAGCAGCAAAGCAGACTACCCCAGCAACGCCTCTTTTGGCCTCCATTTGCTCCATCTCCTTGAAATACCCATTCTTTTCCTTTTTTTTTTCAGAGATGGGGGCTCCTCTTGTTGTGTCTCTGGCCATTCAGACCGGTGTTCTTGGGGTAAAGGTGAAACAGGTCCACAGTCTCCTGTGCATGCAATGGCAGGGTTGTTTGGGGTTTTTTTTTGTTTGATATATCTCAAAAATTGCTTTAGAGATTACACATAAAATACTTTTTAAAATTCATTGAGCACACCGAGCACCGTGTGCCACCCTCCAGCTTTTCAGAGTCATGCAGGAGGGTTAGATGAAAAATAAGACCACTTCTAAGAATACCCCTCACCTCTGGATCCTTATTTGCATTGCACAGCAGCTGCCTTAGTAAGAGTCACCCCTTTGTGAAGGATGACACCTGTATTTCCAAATCTGGTCCTGCCAGAGGCCAAGAAACTGTGATGCTCAGGAGGCCACTCTGGGGAGAAATAAAGAGATGGGATAACAAAGAACACTCGGGTGAAAAACTTTATTTTAGAGACGTCATTCATCCATTTGACTGTCTTAGGTATTTCTAAAGTGCCACAGTATCACTGCAGGATCTAAGCACCATCAGCACAACAGGAATTTACAAGGTTCTACAGAGCTCCCTCAGCTGGCAGGAGGATCTGGGCACCCATGTGGGATGGAGCGTGCTAGGGATGGTCTCCCTGAAATGATAGTAGCTAATTACCTTTTGCTTTTTCCAGTAGTCTCCCACTATGACCCTGAGGGAGCTGGTAGAGAAGGCAGTGAGCTAGCTGCTGTGACACCAAACCTTCTGGTTCTTGACTTTTCGCCCGTGCCCATCCCTCTGTCTTCTGAATTTGGCTCCCGAGTTTGTGCTGCCCACAAAGCCATTAAATCCCTGGAGGAAGAGGAAGGTGCCCTGTAACCACAGCAAAGGGTGGGTGGGTGGGTGGGTGCCCAGATTCTCCTCCCGAGCTCGATGAGCACAAACAGCAGGCAGGCTAAGGGGGAAGTGAATGATTTCAGCCAAGTGACACCCAACGAGAACTAACAGTGGCTGTGGAAAGGAACTCCAGAAATGTGCTTACGCCGGGGAGCGAGCCAATCCCAGCTGCTAAAGCCTACTGTGCTGGCAGTGTGCTGGGAGCCCTAAGGCCACCCTGATTTGGCATGGTTTAAAATAAGTTCATCTTCGAAATAAACGCACGTCGATCCTTTCGATTTACAGAGCCCTGTAAGTAACACCCAGCAGTTCACAAAGCCTGTAGCAAGGGAAAGAAAGGCTCTGAGGACCACCACGAAGGCATGCCCAAGGGGCAGCTGGCTCCCCAAACCAGGGTCTCCATGTGCTTCCCTTCCAGTTGAGCTCAGCAGCCTGCAGACCTGGGTTTGATTTTCATGGATCCGCCGCAGCAACTGGGTTCAGATTGGCAAAAAAAGAAAAGTTGGCATCCACAAGACGCCTCTCCCTGGCAAACAGGGCTCCCCAGGCAAACAGACAGTTCTAAATGCTGTACATTTCCCTTAGGAAATGTGAACTGGAATGAGACAAACCCACACAAATTGATCAGTTCTACAGAATAACCTCTGAATTCGGTTAAAAATGAGCCTACCAACTGAGAGCTGCAGTATCCCTTCCCAAAGTCTGCTAGCAAATGAAAATCTTGACGCTTCTGGAACCAATTAGGTGACCACGAGTTGCATTTCCAAACCACTTTCCAGAAGTGGAACAGAAATCAAGAAGTCATTGGTTTGAAGCTGTTCATAAAAATAAAAAAAACACACAAAAAAACCCAACCAACCAAACAACAAACACAAAGGTAAAAGCAAAAATGTGCATTTGCAAATGAAGGCTTTGGTTCCCATGTAAACAAAGCCCACCCCGTTTCTGAAAGCTCCTTCTACTTCCCTGAGCAGCTGCACATAAAGGTGCCTTGTTCCTCGAGGAGCTGCAAACCATTTCACCCTCCCCCTACAGCTCCTTTTTATTAAACTATATGAAAATAGCATTTTCTCAGCAGTTGAGTGTCAAGAAGTGACTTGGGGCTTTGCAGAAGGGGTCCCTGCAATCCCTCGGAGAGTAGCACACTCTGTAGAGCGAGCCATTCAGAAGCATCCCTGGCCAGCAGCTGCTCAATTCCACAGATCTTCTCAGCATCTTCATTTCCTTCACCTCTTCCCCCACCACAGCTCCAGTCTTTTCACTGGCTTCAGTCTGTATTCCTTTTTCCAGAGACCTACTGAAGCCGTGGAGCCAGTCGCAGGATTAGTAAGGTAGGTTGCAAAACCAGAAATCTTTCCTAAGCTCCAGCAGCGCTGGGTAAGCACACCACTCAGTGTCCTCACTAAAATGATCAGCAGTGAAAACAGTAAAAAATATAAACGATATGTGTCGCACTGCAATTCCTTGTAGGTAAAACCATGAGGGGGGGGGTACATCCTACAACTGCCCCGGATATGTACCTGTGTAAAACGAGGGGGAGAGTGACATTCAGGGGTCACTCCTCGCAACCACAGGGGCCACGCGTTTTCAGATAGATATATAAATAAAATAACTCCATTCCAGATCTTGTACACACACACACAAAGTAATCAGTGTAAAACAATGTCCTGATATGAAAACTCAAGATGTCTCGGTACAAAACCTATTTCTCCAAGCTTCTTATTGAGAAATTCTAGTATATACAGTATGTTTAGCATTTTTGAGAAGTACTGATGGGGTGTAGTGTCACGGCTGGCCATTTTGATCACTTCCCTGGCGTGTGCACGCGTGACCGCTCGCGTGTGTGAAGACAGACATAGTATAAAAGCTACTTCACACATATGTGAGTACAGACATAGAGATGTTATTTACACACAGGCACACACCCCGGCCAAAATGGGACTTGAGAAATACTGCTATGGAACCAGGTCAGTCCTAGTACAGCACTGTTCCGTCCTGTTTTGCGACGCAGCTTACACCAGCACACTTAAAAAGTATCTGTGAATTCTGCAGAACGAGGAGGCTACCCGTACAAACTCACAGGTGACCTCCACACACCCGTGAAGTTGAGTACCTTAGTCTTAGCAGCAGCAAGTATAATTTATTATTTTATTTTCTTTTTTAAGCCTCCAGGTATGGGAGTTCCCTACATCTGTTACCCACCGGTTCTGAGATTCCAGGACAAGCCATGTCCCTGTCCCGCAGCTCCTTCATTCCTACCATCCAAGCAGCATTTGCAGAAAACCTCTGAGGACAAGCCTTCCCTCTGCGGTTCGGCGTATGCCTACACGTGCCTTTCACAAGCAAAATCAAGTGGTCTTTGCCTGCTCTTCAAGTTGGCCTGCACACTCTATAGGCATAATGCAGAGTCTCCAGCTTCCCAGCAGGACCTGACTTAGCTTTGACCTTCCTGACTGCTGTATGAGACACAGAGCTGGCTTAGACCACGAGCACGATGAGCTTCCAAAGACCTCTGCAACGTTATAAAGGTCACAGCATCTCAGCTGCGAGCAGAACGAAGCCCCTTGAAGACCCCCCACCTCCCATCTTATTTCCCTTGGCACAACCACACACACTTATACTGCGTTACCAAGCAGCCTTCTCATCCTGCGACCTGATGTCGTGCCTTCTCTCCTCAGGCTCCCAGAAAACACCTCACACCTTGGCCACACAGCAGATGGCATCTGATTCTAGTACCGGGCAAAGAGGATGACAGGCCCTCGGGATGCAGCGCTACCCACCGCAACCACTGCTGGAGGAGGAGGTGACTGAAAAGGGCAGCACAGGCCAAAGGCATTACTCTGGCCAGCTGCCTATAATCCAGGGACCCCGCTGTAGTCACGCTCTTGTCCACCCCTGTGGCCCTTGGGCACATTTTGGACAGGCCTGGACCACCAGGAGCTGCATCCTAGTTCACCCCCAGAGCACAGCTAGGGATGCTGCCTACCACACGTGCACCCGCTGGTGCGAGACCAAGTAGGAGTTGCGACTGAAGCTCTTCCCACAGTGGGAGCACTTGAAAGGTTTCTCCCCAGTGTGGGTACGACGGTGACGGATGAGGGTAGAGTTGTCACCGAAGCAGGTCCCACACTCGGCGCACTTGTAGGGCTTCTCCCCGGTGTGGGTGCGACGGTGCTGGACAAGGTGCGAGCGCTGGCTGAAGCTCTTGCCACAGTCAGGGCACAAGTATGGCTTCTCACCCGTGTGGACGCGCTGGTGGATGACCAGCTTGGAGCTCTCGCTGAAACACTTGTTGCAGTCCGCACACTTGTAGGGCTTCTCGCCCGTGTGGAGCCGCTGGTGGGCGATGAGGTTGGAGCTGTCGCTGAAGCGCTTCCCGCACTGGGGGCACTTGTAGGGTTTCTCGCCGGTGTGGAAGTTGGCGTGACGGAGCAGGCCCGAGTTCTGGTAGAAGTTCCTCCCGCACTTGGGGCAGACATAAGGCCTCTCGCCGGTGTGGTTGCGCTGGTGCTGCACCAGGTGGGTGCTCTGGCTGAAGCTCTTCCCGCAGTCCTTGCACTGGTAGGGCCGCTCGCCCGTGTGGACGCGCTGGTGCTGGATGAGGTGGGAGCGGCGGCCGAAGCCCTTGCCGCAGTCGGGGCACATGTAGGGCTTCTCCCCGGTGTGGATCCTCTGGTGGCGGATCAGGTCGGAGCTGCGGTTGAAGCTCTGCCCGCACTCGATGCAGATGTAGGGCTTCTCTCCCATCAACGCTCGCTGGGGCACCGCTGTCTCCTTCCGCTTCCGAAAGCCGCAGCGAGAAACCTTCTCCGGCCCCGTCTGAGGGGAGAGAAGGTCTGGCCTCGGACAGGACGCTTCCTGGTCGCAACCATGAGGAGAAGCTTCCCTTAGGAAAAAGTCCGAAATGGCCCCGCAGGGTTTGGATGCCTCCGGGAGCCCACCTCGCTGGAGATCCCCCTCATTTTCACTCATGCTCCCATCACCTGCCAGGACAGAAGGACAGTCCAGACACAGACACAACCAACACAGAATCCCATGGGGTTGGAAGGGACCTCTGGAGATCATCTAGTCCAACCTCCCTGCCAAAGCAGGTCCACCCAGAGCAGGTTGCACAGGAACGTGTCCAGGTGGGTTTGGAATGTCTCCAGAGAAGGAGACTCCACCACCTCCCTGGGCAGCCTCTGCCAGGGCTCTGCCACCCTCACAGTGAAGAGGTTCCTCCTCATGTTTAGATGGAATTTCTTATACTCAAGTTTGTGCCCATTTCCTCTTGTCCTGTCACCAGGCACCACTGAAAAAAGACCAGCCCCGTCCTCTTGACACCCTCCCTTTGAGTATTTATAAGCATTGATCAGATCTCCCCTCAGCCTTCTCTTCTCCAGACTAAAAAGACCCAAGTCCCTCAGCCTCTCCTCGTAAGGGAGGTGCTCCATCATCTCTGTAGCCCTCTGCTGTCCCCTCTCCAGCAGTTCCCTGTCCTTCTGGAACTGGGGAGCCCAGAACTGGACCCAGTGCTCCGATGGGGCAGAGCAGAGGGGCAGGATGACCTCCCTCCACCTGCTGCTCACACTCTTCTTGATGCCCCCCAGGATGCCATTGGCCTTCTGGGCCACAAGGGCACGTTGCTGGCCCGTGGGCATCCTGTTGTCCACCAGGACTCCTACAACACCTCCAGGCCCCCTCTTCTCCACCATGCCCTGCCCACAGCAGCCACCCCCGCCCGGGTGCTGCCTCCTCCCGGCCCCGCCGCCGCCTCCAGGGGAAGAAGCGAAGGCGCCGGGACCGCTCCATCCCCCCTCCCTCCCTCCCGCCGCCCGAGGGGGCTGTCGCCGGGGCCCGGGAGGCCGAGGCGCTGGGCTGGGGACGGAGGTGCCCGGAGGAGGCCGGCGGTGGGTCGGTGGTGGTGCCGCCGCCAGGCCCCGCCGCCCTCCTCCCTCGCACAGCCGTGCTGAGGGGAATCCCAACCCCCCCGCGGACCGGC